CCCCCCCCCCCCCCCCCCCCCCCCCCGCAAAAAAGTTAGAAGTCTTGATTGTTGTTTCGGAAAGAAAATTAAGTGAAACTAAAATTAACCAAAAAAAGAGTCTATCAACTGATTAAAAACACTCAGTTTAAGCCCCGCCAGTTAGCTCAATTGGGAGAGCTTGGTGCCAATAAAACCAAAGTCATGGGTACAGATCCCCTTACTGGACAGCCACTAAAAAAAAAATAAATAAATAAAAGCAGTCAGTTTTAGAAAAATATGTTCTCAGCTCTGAACTCTAAAGTAAGAAACTTTCAAAATATTGTTGGAATCTATTCCTTTATCTAACATTCGCCAAACTGCATGTTGCATTTCAGATACAGATCTACTTATTTAAAAAACGGCTGGGAATTATTTCAAAACTTGTTGCATAAAAGCTCAAATATTTCAAAAGAAATAAAGCATTATTCCTAAACACTGGCAACAGTATTTTCCATTACAAAAAGCACACAGATGTTCTAAATATGCTTCTAACCAGAAAAAAACTGTTGCCATTTAGTTGACTTAATTATTTTCACCTACAACTGTACTTAACACATCCCTTTGTCTTCTAATTTGAGAAATTTCTCAAGATATAAATATTGCCGGTGGGGTGGTCAGGGAGTGTGTTTTAAGAAAGGTCTTTCCAAATGATGAATATCTTTGACCTCCCTAAAAACAAAGTAAGCAAGTGTTGGATTTTAACCTAGGAAGGATTTTCAACTAGCCCCTCACCCTGATGTCAGCTGTTACCCATGACCTCTGTTGAGAGGTTCACAACAAACGTCGCAGGACCACCCAGACCCTCCTAAAGAAATGACAATGGGAAGGGGCACACAACCACTGCATTATTATTCTAACTCTCTATTGGAATCTACCTCACTATGCCACATTGTAATTGTATATAAGTCTACCAAAGGTTTAAGTTAAAAAAAAGTGGAAGAGACAGATACAGAAAATATTAAACAAATTACTACTAAAGCTTCTTTATAAACTTACTTGGAGTTTCAGCATTACAACAGTCTCAATGTTTGTGCAAGTTTTACCCCATCATGGGCACCAGTTTTATTCTCTTTAATTAGGGTAAAGACACTGTTGGGGAATAACTGGGACATAATTAAGAGTTATATTAGAGAAAGATACACGTTATTAAACTTGAATACTTCCCCGATCAAAAACATCACCACCATTAGGACATTCCTAGTATAATACATCATTTCCTTTGATGATTTTGGAACCAGAAAAGTCAGATGTTCACAAAGACAGTGATCTCAACAATTTTTGACCACCTTCGAAATCAATAAATATTTAATTCTGCCTTAGTGAAGACACATGAAAGAGCCACACTAAATTTCCTTATCACTTTAACAGATTATATAAACTGGATTGCCAAACACCATATTATGCAAAATGAAAGGCAATTTGAATGAATTAAACTCTCGAGTTTGAGAATGGAAAAATCTTGCATTTTTAGATGAAAAATGAGAAACTCCTTGAACAATAATATACTAGAATAAATCATTCATATCTAGGTAAGAAATAAGGATAATATAAATGTATACAGAGAAAGTGAGTTTTAAGCTTCTTCCAGGTCACTGATGTGGATAGGGGATTGGGAAAAATCACAGCACTGTATGATTAATACTTTACATGTCAGGTTTTGTTCGGACTCCAATTCTCATTCTATTTATCACTCACCCCTAAGGATCACTTTCTTTCTAGAGACACACCTAACACACACAAAACTAATATCCAAAAGCAAGAACAACCAGGCAATCTCTAAGACTAGGACTTTCAAAGTACTGATCTGCCTTTCCTATCACTCAGGCTTAGTCTCCACAGTGCAGGAAAACTGTATTTACATGTGAATGCTGTAGTCTTCTCCAAAACCAGGCTACGAACAGAAAAATCGAAAAAATACTAAGATCTCATGCCTAAGCTACAACACCCTTCAGGAACAACAGCACAGACCCAGCCCCATTAAAAATTCTACATAATATCAGTGACAGTTACTAGTCTCCTAGTATTTGGAACTCTGGGAAAGAAAGCAGCCAAGCAGTCACCAGTTTTCTTGGGATTTCTGGGTTGGCCTGAGCTCGCACAAGACCAATTGAGTCAAATTAAGTTGGCAATGAAACACGCAAGTTTCAAGAAAGCAAATACTCTTATTTTCAATTCCCCATTCCCAAGACACCTCAAGCCACACAGTACTCTGTAGAAACAAATTACATCCACAACAAAGGCAGTCCTAGCAAGCCCTTAAATTTCTGTGCTTGCAATAGCTTTCTGGAACTTCTGTGCTTCCTAAAATCAAAGAGTAGTCAAAGGTAACTAAAGGGTAAAGTAATCCACCACCTAACACCTCAATAAAAAACGTGAGGTGCTGGGGCAACTGATGAAGACCAGGGAAGGGAAGTCAAAGGGCTACCTGCTGTTAGCTAAGCCAGTCCAGTAATAATCAATCTTTATTTTCCTGGACATCAGTATAGAGAGCCGTTAAAAAACAGGATCGTCAGTCCCCTGTTCCCCTTGCTCAGTGCTTTTTGTAATACAATGATTACAGCGGCCTCCCGTCCGCCTGCGCAGAGAGCAACGCCAAGACTCAACTTTCAAACCTTGGTGAAGGTGGGAAAGTCAGCCAGCCAGACGCTGGGCTAGGAAAAGCAGGGAGAGAAGGAGGGAAAGAGTCATGTTTCAAAACAAAGGCTCCACACGGAACTGAATGTCAAACCCTCCCCACTTCCCAGCCTTCAAGCCAGCTAGGCTGGGCCTTGATTTTTAAGAACACTAATAAGTCCGATATACTCAGCCCCTCAGCGTTCACTAGGGCTTTGCCATTCACCAGAATATTTGCACAATCGCTTGCTGAGGGTGTTGCTATCCTCCCCCGATCCCTTACACAGGAAAAAACAAGCTTAGGACGCAAGCGACTTGCCCAAGGTCCCACAGTAGAGCCCAAATTCAATTTCCTTCACGTCCAGGCCAGACCAAGCCAAGGCGGGCTCCCTGCGAGGGCGGCGGCGGCCAAAAAGACGACGCCCCGCCCTGAGAGAGCTCCGCCTGGGGAGAGGGGAGAGGCCCCGCGTGCCCACCGCCTCAGCCCCTACCTTCCTTGACTCCTGGCAGCTTGGACTGGTCGATGCCAACTTCAGCCATGTTGGGCCGGGGTCCTGGCTGCCCCTAGCCGCCCGCTTCCCGGCCACCGCCGGCACCCAGCGGGGCCCCGAGCGCAGCAGCAGC